ATGATACATAATAGAACGGCTTTACCTGTATTGAAAATATGCCGAGATTGTGCCGAAAAATCTTCAGCTTGCTCAGGAATACTGCTGGGTATGAATTCTTCTACTAAAGTGGTTAGAAACACGCTAATATTTCTGGTTTTTTAATGAACCTAATAATGATGTACAGGTATGAAGTATAAATGACACTTTATAAAGTGCTGTCACATGGCTGTTCTCACATCTTTAATTTTTGACATATTTCAACGCTTTTAACTCCTGAACTTAATCATTGTCTCTTACACAACTACACACTTAACAAAAAATGCTCAACACATGTATATGAATAATTGTGCAATTACGCAAGTTATTGTTACATTTTTACAAGAATACGCACTTAAACCACTATATCCTGTTATATAATGACTGTGTGTAGTAATATAGCTTGTGTCAACAAAGGAAGCATAATTTCAGGTGTTAAAGTACGATGAAGTGAGGAGGGGGGTACGCACAAAAAAAAATAGTCTTACAAAACACTAGATTCTAAACTTAAACACACACAAACACACACATATCAAAGCGTATAAATATTGGTGTGTAAAACATGCGTGTGCGCCTAAAATGCGGCATAATGGAATTATTATTAGCTTGTTTGTATGCCAAAGTAGATAGAGCGAACACAAAGCAAAACGAAAAATGTACGCAAGCAGCAATTTTGCTAACTCAGCGCATAAAGGTGTGTGTACAAAGCAAATTATACAAGGGCGAATACCGACATGAAGGCAAATCTCTTCTCTAACGCTTACATGAAAACAATGAGTGCTGCAGTTTTGAATCTTTTAATATAGCCATATCTTCTAAACAGCAATGAAGAGTAGAAAAAACGATAAGCAGGTGATTTGATATCAAGAATATATCATCGAACGCAGCGTAGGCATGTCCTTAAAGAGAACGCATACAGCTGGTTGAAAAAATGCGGTAGCAGCTGAGCATAAACGTGAGCAAAGTGTAGAAATTAATTTCGTAGCGCTTATTATTACTAAGAGTATGTTTATATAAATATATTTGCTTTTATTTATATTTTTACTATACAAGTATGTAGTTATTTCTAAGGAAAATACAAAATATCTTAAATTGTATACATTTTGAACGCTGTTTCACTACTTAAGAATTGTTTAGAAAAGATCAATGGGAGTTTAGACATTATTTTATAAGCTTTTTTCTAAAACTATTTTCAAATACTCACCAAGTTTATTTAGTTGATTTCTGAAAAAAATTTAAAAAAAATATTATATATAAAAATAGTTATTAATAATTTTTCAAAATTTTATAAGTCAGCTAATATATATAACAAGCGAAAATATCTATTAAATACACAAAATCGATGAAAAGATAACCAAGCAAATTCTCTAACAAAAATATTAATATATACAGTTGCCACCTAATTTAAATCATGCTCATTTCTCGTTTACTTGCAAACTAGGGTTGCCAACTTTTTAATTTAAAATTTTTTATTATTTTGAAAATAAATATATGTATATTCAAAAAATATTCACAAATTAAAAAAAAAATAAAACAAATTCGATTAAAAAAAAAATTTCCTAGGATTGGTACTACCTTTTTTATGTTCGTATGAGGTATGATCTGAAAAAAATTAAAGAAGGAGGAAAAAATTTAAAAAAAAATTAAAGAAATTGAGTGTTTCTAATGGAATTACAGCTACAGAATCGTTGAAATTGTTGCAGACGTTTTTTGGAGAGTTCATTTTATCACGAACACTCATATTTGAGTGGGTCAAAGTATTCAGTCAAGGTCGTGAAGCCATCGAACACTTTCCTTATGCAAATCATCCATTCACCTCCGTTAATGACGATTATATCGAAATTTTAAAGAAACAGTGCCTAAAAGTTGTCGTATTTGCATCAAAGATAACGCAGAGAATTTAATAACTTTTAGACTAAACACATTTTGGTTAATGTTTTGGGTGTGAGGCGTGCCAAGGCTAGGTTCGTATCAAAAGACAGGTCGTAAAAGAGATGCTTGACAACGTAACTGAAGACAGACATCAAACGCGTCATTGCTGGTGAGGGGGCGTAGGTTTATGAATAATAACTATTCAACAATCTAGCAAAAAGCGCTCCAAAAATTTGCCAAAACCGAAAAACTAAAATTCGTTGATGGCACGCAAGCATCCCATTTCCATCAAGTGTGTGAAAAATTGGACTAAACGTTGGAATGCTTGTATTGGCTTGGGAAATTTGTATTGAAATACGTGAAGTATTTAACTTATCATTCCGGGACAATATTGATCAGATGGTACGAGTATAGTTAAAGTATATTAACAAATTTTTTAATATATTTCTTTGAGTTCAAAACTAACCAAATAATCATGTATCGGTTTTGAATTTTAGCCAACTTTAAAAAAGTAAGAAACATGTCCCTACTTCTTTTTAAGTATAAAAATTAAGCTTCATTTTTTTGTTTGATAATAAATTATGCTTTTTATAGAGGCATTGACCTACAACGGCCTACATATATATCAAAAATATAAATTCATAGTACAACACCACATTCCGGTTATTTTCTTTTATTTTCTTGTTATCACAAATAACACTTGTGTTCAGATATGTTGTATATATGAACTACCAAATTGCAATTCTGAATACTTAGTACTAGTATATTACTCCGCCTCTCATTACAACTGTTTTCAAAAAAATATTTCAATGCACCAATAAAAAATCTGTTCAAATTTTTTTTTTCAACAAAATTTTTCTTCATTTGTGGACACAATAATTATTGTACGTGCAAACTACAATGCAATGTTGAATCGAGCATGGAATTGAGAAAAAGCAATCCGCCCAATTGATGGGTCGATTTATCAAGAAAAAGTCAGAAGTGCAATTATTGCAGATAAGCCACCGCAACGACTGCTGGATAAAACCAACACGAAAATAGACGAAACAAAAGCTTAATAATAGCGCTAAGTACAAGTAAAACATGAGTGGAATGTTGAAATTAATTTCTATAAGCAACAAACATTGGAGCTGCAACATTTGCTGTGCAGCATACAGAGTAGCTGCAACCAGCAGTTATGTGTTGTTGTTGCTATTGCTGCTACAACTATTACTCCACTTCATGCTTCACGGTGCAGCACTAATTCGACGCGACGCCCAAGCAACAAAAACGAGCACAAGCATACAAATTTCTGCAATATATATATATATATCTATGTATGTATTTGTGTGTGTATGTATGTATGTATAAAGGAGCTGAATACATGATTAATATATTAAATATATTGTATAGACTAATATGCTCTTTTATATATATAATATTTACTGTGTATACATAAGCTTATGTTAGTGGTTACGCATGCGGTGTGCCAACTCACTGCATAACTATGTATACCATATATATGAGTGTGTGTGTGTGTGTTGTGCACTGTAGTGTGTTCTGCTCAGGCAGCGTATGCGTTCACTTGATGTGGCAGCTGCCGAAGTTGCCAACTTTTCCAGGCATGCAACCGCAAGTACTCCAGTATCGAAATGCTTGCCTGCAACCGCGTGAACTCTCCGCACATGTGCAGTTGTTTTCGTTACCATAATTGTTGTTCTTGTTGTTGTTGTTGTTGGCATCAGTGCTTTAGAGATTAGCATTCATACATGTAGTTAGCTGCATATATACTTTGCCTGGTTTACAACTCCAGCTATTTCTGCTACATCAAACTCAAATGGGCGGAAGTGAGTGTTGCACAGCAGTCAAGCAACTTTTGATTGACTCGAAGGGGTGCGGTAGGCGGCTGAGTGCTATTCTGCTTTTGTTGGCGCAGCCACTTTGCCAACTCGACTCTATTGCTATTACTAACCACATGTTTACATAAATATATGCGCATAGTTAAGGTGCACACACATGTAAGCTTATAGCATACACACACGCACACTTGCTCATTACCTCATTTAGTGTTTTCCTTTTACTTTGTTTTTGTAATTATTTAATTTTAAGCACTTCAATACATGTGCAACAGCAAAGCTCTCAGCGCTCACATATGAATTTTGGTATTTAATATGCGAGCGTGTGTGTGCGAGCATGCCTGTGTGTGATCTTGCGGTTTTGCTGATTATGGAAATTATTTCATGTTTCCTTTTTTATTATACCCTGTACAGGGTATTTTAAGTTTGCCACGTAGTGTGTAGCACCCAAATATATTTATATAAATGATCAACGTGTCGAGCTGAATCGATTTAGCCATGTCCGTCCGTTTGTCCATCTATATGTACGCAAACTAATCCCTCCGGTTTTGAGATATCAACCTGAAATTTTGACCTCGTTGCTTTCTCTCCAAGAAGCTGCTCATTTGTCGAAACCGCCGATATCGGACCGCTATAGTTTTAACTGCCATACTAACTGAACGATCAAAATCATGTCATTGTATGGAAACCATTTTATTTGACGAGATATCTTTGCGAAATTTAAATCGATTTTTTGTTGAAGAAAACAATACAATATCTGAAGAAATTTTTCAGATCGAATACTATAGCATATATGTATGTAGCTACTCTAAAAACTGATCGATAAAAAAAAAAGGTACTTGTATGTAAAATTTTTTATTCATGTAGGGTATTATAGCATTGGTGCAACCGCAGCTCACTATTTCTCTTGTTTTTTTTTTATATATATAAACGTATTTCTCTTTAGTTGATTGTTTTTCGTTTATTTTTGGCCTGTTGCTTTCTTTTCAAATTGACACAGCTTTGTAAAACTTTTAAGTGGATTTTGTGATTTATGTATTTCAAGGATTTTATACAAACTGAAATAAATAAAGAAATGTTTTAACTATACACACAAGCATTTAAGCGGATTATTTTTGATAAAATACATGACGGAAGCTTGAGCAACGAAACTGCAACTTGCTGGTAGATAACAATATAGGTATAACGGAATGCGTGCATATATACTGCCTTAAATACACACTGAGTGGTTAAAAGGAAAAAAATAAACAATTACATCGGATTGTCGTTCAAATAGTCAAAATTTGCCTTTTATATATTTTTCAGAAAAGAAAATAAAATTTTAAGTCAAGAAACGTCTCCATCATTGGATTCAGAGTAATAAAAAAATATAAAATCAAGCTCTAACTTATCTATAAAACATAGTAACCCAAAATATTTTGGATCACGCTCAGCATAGAATTAAATAATATTTGTATTTTTATGGTTTAACCTAAATCGTTTGGTATCTGAATAGATTGAAATAATACGTGTTCCACAAAAGAATCAGCAATACACAATGCTATTATGCAATGGCACGAACGCTACTAATACTCTTCGGCGTATTGTCGATTTTATGGAACAATGGTTTTAAGCTCCGCAAACCTACAAAGGACTCAAAATATAAGATATAGAGATAAGTTCAGAACTGGGGCAAGTTTCAACAGAACTAAGTTAAAATAGTTAGTTGGCTGACAATAAGCTTTTGAAAAAACATAACAGTGCATGAAAATCCATAAAAAAATAACCACCGTAGAACTAAGTAAGAAATATTAGAGAAATTATAAGGTAAGATTAATTCGTTATTGGTAACAAGATTTCCTAAAATAAGTTCAGTTTTCTCAGGTCATATAAAATTTTACTAACAATCGCACAGAGCATGCTGTTTTACCAAACAAAATCATATTCATACCTTAATACGCCCTCCAAAATTTCTTACCTTATTTATAGAGTTAAAGATAAGTTAAAGATCTCTTGAGCCTTTACTTGCGCAAACGTTTCAAAATAAAATAACAACACAACTAATATAGCACACAAAAAATATTTGCAAACAATTGCTAGATTAAAATTACCGCAACGCATATAGGTATTTTTCGTACATTTCCTTTTCTTTCTGCTTTATCCTTCCACCATCGCATCATACACTCACTCATATGTACAGGCATGTCTAATTTATAGCCAATCCCATAATTTGTTGATGTCATGCCAGCAATAATCGCTAGGCTAAAACAAAAGTCATGCTGTCATGCCACGCAGAGGTTATTCCTATTCCGTTTGTCAGCAACCTTAGTTTGCACTCTCTTATCTTAACTAAATTGTTGGCTAATAATAAGTAAGCTGCTCTGGCATTGCTATAACGAAATGACTTCTATACCCGACATGGCAAGCGTGTTGTACTCCTAACACAGTATTTTTGTTTTTTATGCTTTTTTCGATACGAACCTTTTGTTGTGGCTGGTTCACTATCCAATTCTTTCTTTATTTTTGGAAATATTTTGACATTTCTGTTTCGCAATATTTTCTCGCACACGCTTGCCCTAACAACTCTTATTTGCAATTTTAGCTTTCGTTTATCTTAATAGAAATCTTAGGTTTTCTTCTGCCCCAAAAATATTTAGACCACTTAACAAACTTAGAGGAAAAGAGAAATATTTGAGTGAGTGGATAGAGTGAGAATGTAAAAGTTAGAGAGGGGTGAGAAAAAGATGATAAGACTTAAATTTATTTTTAAAAAATATACACATTTAATGCAATTTAAACCAAAAAATCATTTGCTACAAGCCGCCTTAAATTTTAAACTTCCAAATAAACAAGTAATCACAAAGAGAACTTGCACTTGCATGCACCAAGTTCGGGAAGCAAAACTAATTTGTGAACTGCAAGCGACAGCATGATAAATTGAACGTCAAAGGTGAGCGACATGCAAAACAAATGTGGAGGAAAGAATTAAAATACAACTCAAGCAACGAAACAAAGAGTCAGACAGACACTTTGAAAGGTGAGTCAAATCAGACGCAATCAGCATTAAATGTCGCACCATGCGACAGCAGCTGACAGCAGCAGAAAACTGCATGGAGGCAAACAGTATATACATATGTATTTGCACATAAATATAGTGAGATAATTTAAAAGTCAACTGTAAACACAGTCACACAATACACAATAGGCAAATATTTGCTTATTGAAAGCTATAGGTGTGCGCCTCACTATCAAATCAGCGGCTGATGTGAACGCAAGCATAAAATCCATTAAATGCTTAAAAAGTTGTGGCTTTAAAATGCCTTAAACTTTTAATGCATGCTCTAATTAAATCTATTACTAATAAAAGAATCGATTTATTTTCCACGTAATGCTACGCAAAAGCTATCAATGATTGTCACGGCGTATACGTAATGTTTATTTTTTATTTTTTTATGAATCAGTAAGAACTATGTGAATTTTAAGATTTTCTAATAAGTTTCAAGCAGTATTTCTTTTGCCTTTAACTTTTTTACATCATAATTGAAAGGAAATGCAAATGGAAATTATTAAAAAATTGCTTTTGGAAAGGAAAATGTTTGCTTATAAAAGACAGTTTTTGAAACTTTCAAACGGAATGATATCAAACTGCAAAAATTGCTCGGTGAAAGCTGAAAAGAGTGGAAGGCACGAAAAACTTCCTATGAGCAGCATGAGCTCATCCCAAAAAGCGTTAAAATGCGCCCGTTTATAACTCTCAGCGGGCAAAAAATGAACCAAAATTGCCCATACCAACTTTATTCATAAGAAAAAGGTTGACTTCTGCTAACCTAAAAGCACGAAGAGCAAGAAAATTACTAAAAGTACTGAAAAAGAGCACATAAAATGGTGACTTGAATTTGCTAGAAAGTTGATAAACGGACCTGTGTCAGATTGGCCTAACATTCTATGAACCGATGAGACACAGATTGTTCAATTTGACTCCAGTAAGGAAAAACAATGCGTTAGGCGAGCTTATAATCATGAATTTATTCCAAAATGTACAAGGAAGACTATAAAGTATGGGGGTTTTAAGTTTGTTGTTAAAAGAGTAGTGTTCAAGCTTTAGTAAGGATCACCGGGATTACGGATGACAACATTCTGAGAGACATAACAACAATGACATATTGTTGTGTCTACCAACAAGATAATGCCCGAAAGTAAGCCTTGAAAAGAGCTAAGGAGTGGAATATTATTATAGTGGATTGAAATGTGGGTAAATGTGAATAGACAGCAAACCTAAAAAATGCTTGGCAAAATATACCCAAAACTCCCGAAATAATTAAAAATCATATAGCAGCAACTTCATACTTTATGTAAAGGTAATCGATCACATTTCACCTCAATAAATATATCTTCTTATAAGCTCTTACTAAATCTCTAAAAATGTAAAAATGCTTGACGAAAATAAGTTTAAATGAAAGTCTTTTGCGAAAATTTTATTCACGGATTTCATGCTCACTTTGGTTGTTCTTTTTATTTCGAACACGTCTGTACATATGTATGTATGATATAACACTTGTATGATAAGAGCAATAAAAGTTTATTTTAAGAAATGAATTGTTTCAAATTAATATAAATTTTCTTTAAACAGCGCACTTAATGGTACCCACGACGTATACGTAACATTTTTATTTTATTTTTCGTTTTTTACTCTTCGTTTAGCATTTAATGAAATTAGTACTAACCTACAATATTGTTTTCTATAATGATTTGTTACATTTATTTATTTGTTTCTATGGCTTAGCGCAGTGTGGTATTCTGCTTTGAAAATCAGACAATTGCAAACCCACAACATGTTGTATTCTCAATAAGTTTTTTGGTTTTATTTTCGATTTCATCTTTTATTTAATTGTTGGTTACTATCTAGCCCTGTCTACACGCAATTCAAATTGCCTTTTTGCCGTTAAGTACATCCTTTCACATATAAAGATGCTTGACTTTCGAACAACCCTACGGTAACCCCGTCAAACAATTTAGCTGACATGCGTCCTACCCCTAAATGTTAGCAAATCATTACGGACAATGCGTAACGGCGAACAGCTTTGACAGTTAGCTAAGTGATTCGTCTTATTTTAGTTTTGTTTTGTGATTTACCTTTATATTTTTCTCTTTTCCTTTGTTGGGAATTGATATTGTTATACCAAATAGATATGTATGCGTCCTTTGATAGTAAAGAAAAGGTTAATGCTTTCGGCTAAAACGTGTATCTAAACAAACGTTGACCTTTTTCGTATTTGCCTACCAATGCTTTGTTGACTTATAATTTGGGCGCTATTCGTGGTCTAAGCAGTATATAGAAATAGAACATTTTACTCTAAGCCATGTTTCTCATTTAAGTGATATCCATCAATCAACTTATTTTAAATTTATACATGTGTGCAGTTTATATCAATGCCGATATTTTAACTCTGAACAGGATATATTAAGTTTGCAACGAAATTTGTAACACCCAGAAGGTAACATCGGAGATCCTATAAAACATATACATAAATGGTCAGCATGATGAGCTAAGTTTATTTAGACATGTCCGTCTGTCTGTATATATATAAACTAGCCCCTCTAAGAAGCGGATCCTTTGTCGGAACGGCCAATATCGGACCACTATAGCATATAGCTGCCATAAAAACTGAACACTCGGAATTAAGTACTTGCATGGGAAACTTTTTTATTTGACGAAGTATCTTCACGAAATTTGGCATGCGTCATTTCCTAAGGCGACAATGTAATCTCCGCAGAAATTGTTCTGATCAGATCACTATATCATATAGCTGCCATACAAATTGAACAATCGGAATCAAGTTCTTGTAAGGAGCCTTTGTATTTGTGAAGGGCATTACAGTCTCGGTGCAACCGAAATTAACATTTTTTCTTATTTTACTTAGTTTTAGCCATTTTTTTTATATGTATTAAGATTTGGTGTTGAAAAATATGCTGATTTATAATTCGCAAATAATTTTCTTTTACATAATATGTATCGTGGACTGCATTTGCACCATCAAATTACATCCAATGCTAAAATTTATTTATAACTTATCCATTATTTTTTCTCTTTTCTATTACCATATGTAAGTTTACTCTTTATCACGACAATTGTTTTAGTGAGCTATATATTCGACAAATACGTCTGCTACCAAGATTATTCGTCACAAAATAAGTTTAATTGGTTATGTTTAGATAAACCTGAGAAACGGCGGTTTTGTTTTATGAAGTTCCCTATTCGACTTATAATGATTTTGCCACGCTAATTTCAAAACTGAAGTCAGTTTTTCTCTAGCAGCTCAAGTTTTCGAAATATTATAATGAACATATTACATTTTAGGCCAAAAATACAACAATTTTAGAATTTAAAAAAAATATATTGCGCTTACTTGATATGAAAAAAACTTTCTTTTATGTGCTTTCTTGCATAAGTAGAAACATCAGTCTTATTTTAATTGCTCCAGCAGTAATCAGCCAACATATTTGCATGCCAACAACGGTGGTCTCGCTCTTCCATAGTGCGAATATCCTAATGAAAGCGTTCTCTTTGTTTTTCACTTAAGTAGTATAAATTTTCTGGGAAGCGGTCTAAGTGGCTGAGAAGGAGGTGCATCTTGATGCCCATGTTACGTCCTAGTCTCTTTATGCAACATGAGCTGCTCAGTATGTTGAATGTAGTCTGAAGACTTTTTATTACCTAAGAAATTTTTCACAACCCAAATAAATTCAATCCATGCAGATTTCTCTTTATCTGTCATACAATCAGTAAAATCTTGGTACGTTATTAGTTTACTGAATTATTTCTGTGCTCAATTTCGGAAAATTTTACTGATATATTTAAAATCTTCCCCCATCCTTGTTTAGAGCTTTAATAAATTGTTCTATCAGATCTTCCTTTGATGAGGAATAATATAATCACCGCAAACAGCACATAAATATACTGATTATTTAAACAAGTTCTTTTTAATGTAGACAAAGCGGTTTATTTACGAAATTTAGTAATATTTCGCCATAAACATTTTTCTAAGTAAGCCAAGTAACGATATTTATTCAAGAAGTACCTGTATCACTAACTAAAGCTGCTAGAAAGAGGTAGATTTGAAATCAACGACGTCAAATTAATAAGGAATAATTTTCATAAAACAAAAAAAAAATAATAATTTTTAATTAATTTTGTTACCAGTCTAATTGATATAGATTCGAGCCCATTATAAGTAAGAAAATGTTCCAAGGACGACATCTGTTGTCCCATACCACTACAGAGTCTCACTGAACGTGCCGAGAACTACGTTGTATAACAACGACGTTCAATTTTGTTTTAACTGTAGATGTCAAACACGGTTAATAAACTTTAAACTGAGTGCACTCGTAAATCTAGTTCACTTGTCTGAACTACACATTTATACTGAAGGTCAGGCAATTGAGAACTAACGCTTCGATAACCTATACATTTTTAATATTCTCTCATAAATCAGTTGGCAGCTTTATAAAACAATTTTATACCAAAGCTTATTCAAATAGCTCTCATGTGATGAACCTTTTATTAAGTGACATGCTATTTAAAATTCATTCAATTAAAGCTTCACCAAAATCCTTTGTAAAGTTCTCTATCTGTAATAGTTTTACATAAAGCCACAAATGTAAAAATCACCTGTAGTTTATGCATAATGCGAGCCAAATATCTGTAGTATGATCCCAACCATCGCTATCAACAGCTGATTGCCAAAACTTATAGGCAAACTTTATTTTCTTTATGTAGAACAAAATCCTTACTGATGCCACTCAGCTTTTCACAAATTGCCCCACTGCGTATACGCAACAATTTAACTAAACTTTATTTTTACTCGTCGCAACGCTCGAACGCCCAACGCCCAAATGTGCGCAGCAAATTGCATTGCCATTTCATAATAAAAAATGCAACTCAATTCCGTTTGCCACATGTGAAATGGAAAATTTGCTGCCAATTCGATGCAACAACAACAACAATAAGAGCAGCGGAAGCAACAACTTAAAATACAA